CACACACACACACACACACACACACACACATACTCACCTTCTAGACAATCCACACATCTGACCTATCATAAGTCCTCCCCCTCCCCCTGCTCCTGTGAAAGGACTACACCCGCTGAAAAGAATGGGTCAAGGGGGGAAGGGACTGGGGACTCCCCTACCATGTGACACCCTAAGATCAATGAGCCACCTCATGCACCAAATGATATGTTCAAAGTTGTCAGAGATGAAGAAACAGCTGGGGCAACAGTAGCCCCTCTCTGGAACAGGTGGATCTGGGCCCAGTCCCCAAATGCCAGGCAGGGGCCAGGTTGGAAGTTATTACTAAACAGGAGATAAAAACAGGGCATTAAATGGAGAGTGACAGTCAATTAGACAAACTGACTGAGAAGGACAAAAGCATATTCCCCTGAGGTTGTTTGCTTTCAGGTTTTTATACCACAGAAGAGTATGCATATGCAGATTCTTCCAACCTAATCCAAAGTTAGATAAAAGTTCTTTCTCCCTGTGTCTAAGGCCACCTGTGGTGAGGCCTATCTGTAAGCTGAATACTTGACCATGGGAACATCCCCCACCTACTCACAGAAGGGTGACCTCGTACTAAACACAGCTATCTTATCTCCATGTGACAGTAAGATTACTTTTTTTTTTCAGAAAAAAAAATAGCTTAGAATTTTTGTTTGGTGCCAATTAATTTGGATGGGGGAGCCTACTGTATCCAAAATTTAACACCCCAGGTCGGCATAGCCCTGCGTACTTATGATAACATGTTGTAGATCAGACTCAGCCAGGTCTTGAGCAACGGTGTTGACTGTGCTCATACTCTGGAGTCTTGGAGTACATACACAGTATTAGCACATTAAAACATGATTGTCTGGGCCAGTCAGGAGTCAGGCTGGTTTTGTCCCAGGTTTCCTAAGAGAGGCTACATGAAAAATGAGCATTTTTTTTATCAGATGTGAAGAACACCAAAGGAAATTTAAATCCCTGTTTCATCCCTTAGCCTTTCCGAACCTGTTCAAAACCAGCTTCATCCAACACGAAGTCGTGAGCGAGTACAGCCACCTCTTCACGGTCCGTGGCTCCGACCCCAGCTTACAGCCCTACCTGTTGACTGCGCACATCGACGTGGTTCCGGCCCCTGAAGAAGGCTGGGAGGTGCCCCCATTCTCTGGGCTGGAGCGCGATGGCTTCATCCATGGGCGAGGCACGCTGGACAACAAGAACTCCCTCATGGTCTGCAACACTGTGTTCCTTCTGCCATGGGCACCTAGTGACCAACCCAGGGAGGAGTTATGCTAGAAAGAACCTGGGCTCCCAGGGGCCCGGGTTCCCGCCATAAGATTGTCCCTTCCCTTTTCTGGGCCTTGATTTTTGACCATGAACCTGAGACTAGACTGGAGGATCTTGAGGGACCCTTTCATCTCTGACATTGATAACATTATGCTTTTCCTCTGACGGTAAAGGTTCTACTTCCACGCCTCCATGGTCTCGTCAATTTGCTCTCCCCAACCCTCATGCAAGCGACTGAATGTTTCTGACCGTTACTCCACTTACTTAATAACCCCTTTATTTCTCACCCCCTGGGTGCCTCTGTCCTGCCCCCAGGCAATCCTGCAAGCCCTGGAGCTCCTGCTGACCAGAAACTATGTTCCCCGAAGATCTTTCTTCATTGCTCTGGGCCAGGATGAGGAGGTAGAGTTTCCTCACCCCTTGTTACCTCTCTGGGGCCTTAGGTGGGGGAGGGGTGGTTCATCTTAGGCTCTGATATCTACAATAACACATTTGTTATAACTGATGATCTTGCATTGGCCCACCATAATCACCCAAAGGCCAGAGTTTCCATTAGGATTCACTCTTGGGTTTAAACAAATGTGTGGCATCTAGCTATCCTTATGTTACTGTATGGAATATTCTCACTGCTCTAAAAATCTTATGTTACTGTATGGAATATTCTCACTGCTCTAAAAATCCTAAAAATCTCCTGTGCTCTAAAATCTCCTGTGCTCTGCCTATCATCCTTGTCTCCCTTCCAATCCCTGGAAACTTTTTCTCAAGTCCATAGTTTTCCAGATGCTTTATAGCCGGAATCGTACAGTGCATTGCTTTTCAAGTGGCTTCCTTCACTTGGCCATTAGTTAGGAATCTGTAACCAACTCCCTGGTCATACTTTGGGTAACAGTGGTGTGATGGGAAGAGAGCTCAGTATGGCGATCAATGAATGTGTTTTCCAGTTATTTGACCCTCCGCAAGTCACTGCCTTTTCTGGGGCCCTGTTTCTTCATTTGTGTAATGAGACTGCTTGGGCCCTTCCAGCTCTGACATTCTGGGACTTGGTGTGCAGGATTCAAGGGACCGGGTGGGACTGCTCAGAGCCCAAGCTACACTAAGCACTGACTGTCTCTGCATATGTGACACAAGCCTCCATGTTTGCAGCTGTCGGGGAATTATGGAGCTCAGAAAATCTCAGCCCTGCTGCAGGCCAGGGGTGTCCAGCTAGCCTTCATTATGGATGAGGGTGGCTTCATCTTGGATGGTTTCTTTCCCAGCCTCAAGAAACCCTTTGCCATGTGAGTAAAGAACCTGTCTACCATCTTGGAAGGCATTCTCACCCCCTGGAGCCTAGTATTGTAAACCTTGCTGAGAACACTTTATTGTACATCTTTTGTGTTTTTTTTTTAAAGATGTATTTATTTATGCATACAAAACTGGGGTACAGGCCAGAGGCTCAGGGGCGGCGAGAGGCTTCACTAGAGACAGAGCGGGGAGCAGAACAGGCAGATCATCGAAGTACACTGCTGAGGGGAGCAGCAGGCGGGTCAGGAGAGGTCTGCACGCCATGTGGATCACCTCTGGGCTAGGGATCAAGCTGGCTCACTTGCAATGCTGCGTTTTAACCAGCTGCACCACCAGGGAGGGCCCTGCACAGTTTTTGTTTTAATCACCCTGAAATTCAGCCAGATACGGGCTATCCCCTTCCCTTTCTCTTCTAGTTGGATTTTCTTTTCTTTCCTTTTTTTGAGATTTATTTATTTGTGCATACAGAACTGGGGTACAGGCCAGAGGCTCAGGGGTGGAGAGAGGTTTCACCAGAGACAGAGTAGGGAGCAGAACATGCAGATCTACAAAGTACACTGCTGAGGGGAGCAGCGGGCGGGTCAGGAGAGGTCTGCCATGCCATGTGGGTCACCTCCAGGGCAGGAATCGAACTCATACTGAAGTGGCTTTAACTTCTTAGTGCTGTGCTTTAACCTGCTGTACCACCAGAGAGGGCCCTACTGTGGATTTTCTAAAGCAGCACAAAGCTGACCTTTTAGCCCACGGGGCCACTGCATGTGGACCTGGGGGCTTATGGGGTGATTCAGAGCCGTGGGAGTCAGGAGGTCCCTCTCTGTCCTTCCCACAGGGTTTCTGTCACTGAGAAGGGCTCACTTAATCTCAAGCTGCAAGTAAAAATGACCCCAGGCCACTCTTCAGCCCCTCCAGCAGAGACAAGTATTGGCATCCTCGCAGCTGCTGTTAGCCGGTAAGCCGCTCCCAGCCCTGCTCCCCAGCCAGACTCAGAGAGAAGACCCTCTTTGAGTTTGAGTTTAAGAAGCCTAAGTTGTCTTCCCTGAAGCTGAGGAGGGGAGATGTGAAACCAGAGCCCCCATCCACCTTCCCAAAGCAAGAAGAACTGCAGGTCAGGAGAGGACCTGTTGGTTACCTGCACGTGGCAGGTGAGGCCCAACAGACAGAGACAGGGCATCCCAGAAACCAGCACAGAATAGAAAAGTCCTATCTGGCAATGACTGGTGAAATAGGGGAACTTTTTCACTGCTTCTGACAACAGGACAAAGATAAATAAAGGCTCTTGTTTGTGAGTCTATAACAACAGAATGCACCTCTGACTGAGTTTTCTTAATGAAATGGAAAGAAGAGTTATGTTCATTCAGATAAATATTTAACTGATGCCTGTGCTCAAGGCGGTGTGCTGGCTGCTGGCAGGCAGTGTGATAAAACCAGTCCTCTTGGAGGACTGACAAATAGCCTACAAAGTGGTAAGTCTGTGAGACAGACTTGGGGGACAGACTCCCACCGGTGGTCCTGGCACTGTGAGGTCTTGGAAGGTCGGGTTGATGGAGGTGACAGGGAAGGCGGTCTCCGAGCCCCCTCCTCTTGGGGCCACTGCTCTTTGGAGCTATTTACGTCTCTTAAAACAGCATTTCTCTTCCAGCCTGGAGAAGACGCCACTACCTAACATGTTTGGAGATGGGCCATTGAAGACCACACTGCAACTATTAGCAAATGAGGTGTGAGAAAGAGTCTTTCGCACTCCTGGTCATCTGTGGAAGAGGAAGAAGGGGTAGCAGAAAATCTGCCTTAAGAGTAATGGAAAGCCCTGTCACAGGCCTGACCTGTGCCATCCTCAACGATCTCCAGCCAGTGGCTGAGCTGAGAGAGAGAGGTCTGACTTGTTCCCTAAGGCTCTTGGTGCTTCTCTGTGGCCCTAACACACCTGCACCCATTGGGAGTGTGTTCCCACTCATGCTTGAGGCTACCCCTCAGGGTCCCTGAGGCAGATCTAAAGTGGAGAGACACCAAAGGTCAGATACAAAGACCCTATTGTGCCAAACCCCACCCCCCACCCCACCCCACCCCCACAGCCCCAAATCCTGCTCACCTGGCTGTTTTCCCTTTCAGTTCCCCTTTCCTTCCAATATGGTCTTGAACAACCTGTGGCTATTTGGGCCCCTTGTAAAGAGGTAAAGTTTTATCTTTCTTTCCCTGCACTCTTAACCCTAAACCAACCTTCCCAGCATCAGTCCCTTCTTGTGACTTAACTAATCATCCTCAACCACCACACATATGGATTACATCTCTTTTGTATATTGAATGTTCTTTAGGTTCGGGAAACTAGGTCCTCCAACTAGTTCTTTCTCCCCATGAGACAGTTCTTTGTCCTGCCGCTTTAGGTTACTGGAGAGGAATTATATAACCAACGCACTCATCAGGACCACCACAGCAGTCACCATGTTCCATGCAGGGATCAAGGTAATACGGTGGGATTCCTCCCTCACTCGTGGTCCTGACTGCCTACCCACCCCTCCATCTCTTTATTTTGTCTCTCCTGAGTCCCCTTTCCTTCTCTGATTACAATTAGAGTAACAGATCTGGAACTAAACTGTCCTGTGCCCGTTGGGTAAACCTCAAAGCAGAGGTTCTAGTGAGGTCTACAAGCCCTCTGAAACTGAATAATTGAAACTGTCCAAGTTGTGTATAGGTGTATTTTAGTGGGTGTCCACATCCCCCTTAGGTTCTTTGGGTCTGCACATCCTCAAAAAAAAAAAAAAAAAGCCATTATACCAGGACTAACGAGACAATTGATTCTTGTGACCTATGTTCATTTAATGTTATTTATTCACCTAACATTTTAGTCATGTAGATTAATGATTTCTAATTTCCGTCTACTGCCAAAAATCTCTTTATTACTTATCCTCATATATTTAAAAAATTACCCACCTCACAAATTTAAGGAATGGTTAAGGTCTTTTCCACTGCTGTTACTCTGAGTTGAAAAAGTGACTCATTAACCATCTATAGAATTGGAACAGTTGTGATATATACAATACTTTAACTGTACACATTGTCATTTCTTAAAATACACTAAATGTTGGGTAGGCTTAGTGAACATAAATTCTGTAGTAATTAAGTTTTTTCTCAATTAGGTTTTGATAATTTTTTCCCCAAGAACAGTTTTTCAGTAAATGAATCTACTTCTAATTGGATTGGCCACTAAGGGGCATCTCAGTTTAAAAGACCAAGCCACAGCCACATCAGTGAGCCTGGGCTTAGACCTTTCTGGAACCATGAAAAGAGTTAGACTATTCCTAGTGCTACCAGTCCCACTACCAGTACCATAATCTTTCCATTCACTTAGATTATGACATGGCCTTGATGGCCACTGGTGACCCAGAGAGCCCAGGCTGAGTGTACATACACTCACATGAAAAGCGCCTCAGAATTAATCCCTGGTATAACTGACTGGAGAGTCCAATGTGTGAACTAGACCACAGCTTTCCTCACCAGCTGGCCAGGGTCTACCAAAATAATAGCACCGTGTTCTTACATTTGAATATATCTTTATCTGTCCAGAACACTTTCACATTAGTTCTGGGTTCCTGGTCAGGCAAAGAACAGAGTCTAATTTCACAACTGAACTTGGGAAAACCACCACCATCACCCCCCTCAGAGGTCAGTCATGCCTGCAGGGACTCGGGTAACCTGACCGTAACATCCCAGTTCTCTTTCTCCTGGCATAATGCTTGTATTTTTTTTTAAAGATTTGTTTATTTAAGCATACAAGAGCTGGGGTGTAGGTCAGAGGTGCGGGAAGGTGAGAGAATTCGTCAAAGACAGAATGGGGAGCAGGACAGGTGGATCTTCTGAAATACACTGCTGAGGGGAGCAGCAGGGAGACAGGAGAGGTCTGCTGTGCCCTGTGAGTCAGCTCCCTGACCGGGGATTGATAACTACAGATAACTTCATAGTACTGAGACTTAACACTTGTGCTACCAAGGAGACGTCTCCCCCATATTACTTTTATACCTACCAACTTAAAGAAAGATACGCAGTTAGGGAATCTGTTGTTTCATAACCTCCAAGGAAAACATTCATAGCCTAACTCCCTTCTCTGATTCGTTCTGGGTTCCTGGTCTAGTTTCACAACTGAACTTGGGGAAACCACAATCATCACCCCCCTCAGAGGTCAGTCATGCCTGCAGGGACTCGGGGTACCCTGTCCTGGGTCAGGACAAACACTGCGACCTACACAGAAGCTCACTGGGAAGACTGCACATGGTCTTGCAAAGCAGCTGTCTGGGAGGTCACAGAAAATTCAGTCTTCTCTGGCCAGCAATCTGTGACCCCCTTCATGAAGGCCTGACCTAAAGCAAAAACACACTGTTAGCACTGAACATAACCACAGATCCAGGGCCCAGAGCAGAGACGGACTGACTCAAATAACGAAGCCCTGAAACTCCCCCTATTAGTGCTATTTGGCATTGCCTGGATGGAGATTTGTGATTCTCTTCCAGATGAATGTCATCCCACCAGTGGCCGAGACCGTGATCAACTTCCGGATTCATCCTGCACAGACTGTCGAGGAGGTATGCACATACGCTCTCAACAATTGGCTCCACGCTGGGGAGGCTCTCAGGATCTGGGTTTAATTGCAAGCCTAGGGCTAGCCCCAGTGTCTCATCTGCTCAAACAGTATTTTTTTAAAGATTCATTTAGTTATGCATAAAGAACTAGGGTACAGGCCAGAGGTGTGGGGTGAGGGTAGAGGGGTGAGAGGACTCACCAGAGACAGTGAGGAGCAGAATAGGCAGATCCACTGACATACACTGCTCAGAGAGGCAGTAGGCAGGACAGGACAGGAGAGATCTGCCCATGTCATGTGAGACAGCTCCCTGGCGCAGTACAGAACTCGTGCTGCGGTGGCTGTGTCTAGCTTCGTATTGCTGCGCTTTAACCTGTTGTCCCACCAGAGAAGGTTCATCAAACAGTGTTCTTTAAAGGCTTCGTATGCATGGCATTTGGCTAGGATCAGAGATTTGGGGGAACTTAGAGTTGGGTAGCAAGAGACAAACATTAGTTAATCACAACAATCAAGGCAGCGAAGGTAAGTCATGTGCCTCAGATGGCACTTCGAGTGTCAGAGTCTGTGCCACTCTCTCTACCAGAGTTGTATAACAATTAGGGGTGAGCAGATTTCTTGGGGCCAATTCAGAGAAGGGAACTCGGGGTCAAGAAAGTCTTTTTGACCTCTAGAAAATTGAGCTGGGACTTAAAGGATAAATAGGACTTTGCTAAGTCAAGCAATTAGTAAAGCTAAAGAGTAGGATAGAGATACAGGAAGAAGTGATAGGAGATGGAACCGGAGTTGCAATGTGGGGACTGAGGCCTTGTGTGCTGTGCGAGGAGTCTGTGAGCAGCGCGCCCTGTCAGGTACTCCGTCAGCACTGTCATCTGCTCAGAGTTGTTTTTTGCTGACCGTGCTGGTGGTGCTGCAGAGAAAGTGCTGGAGGGGGGTACAATGGTTCAAAAGCTGTCACAACGCCTCAGGCAGTTGGCATGAAGAGCTGAGCAGACACTGTGGTTGTGGGTGGAGCAAGGGCACTCACTAGGTGTGACAGATATGGGTTCCACAGGACATGTGTGCTGGAGAGACAGAGATGACGCTCAGGTTTTTAACCTGAGTAGTTGGTCATGTGCCTTTTCTTTTTAAGATTTATTTATTTATGCATACAGAACTGAGGTACAGGCCGGAGGTGGAGGGGTGGTGAGAGGACTCACCAGAGACAGAGTGGGGAGCAGAATAGGCAGATTGATGAAGTACACTGCTGAGGGGAGCAGTGGATGAGACAGGAGAGGTCTGCTGCGCCACGTGGGTCACCCCCATGGCTGGGATTGAACTCATGCTGCAGCGGCTGAGGCTAGCTTCTTAATGGAGTGCTTTAACATCTGAGCCACCAAGGAGGGCCCAGTTATGTGCTTTAACCAAGACTGGGAGCTAGAGGAGAAGGATAAGTTCCCAGGGAAATATAATGGCTGAAAACTTTGAGAATCCTCTCAATTGGTAATTGTAAATACCTCAAGTCGGGAGAAGGAATGAGCTGAAGGTACTTAGCCCAGTGTTGCTCACACCATTGAAAGCTCTAAAGTCAGTAAGATCCCTTGGAAAGATGTAAAGTTAGGAGAGAAGAACATTGTGGCCAGAGCCTGACTTATTAAAGTGAATGTATAGTGGCAAACCAGATGAGGGCTATAAACAAAAGGGATTGCTAGAGGAGATAACAAAGAATCAGGTGTCATGTGAGTGTCAGGCAAGATGCCCTGAGGAAGTGACATCTCACTGAAAGTTACAGTGAGGAGATGCTACACAGATGTCTGTCATCTCTAGGAAAAGCCTACCTATATAGACATCAGGTAGAGCTGCAAAGAGTCTAACAGGTAAACCTGACCCTTCAAAAACTGATTAAAAGAAGCTACCCAACAACTACAGAATGAATTCTACATTCCAGGAGCAAACAGGCCAGGGGCAGGAGTCTCCAGTGCAGGTCTTCCAGGTCACCGATCAGCCCACGAAGATTCTGGGGCCTCTCTCCTTGTGTTTTCCCCATGGAGGGTTTTGTTTGTCTTCACAGGGAGGAAGGCACACCCCTTATTGTAGAGGTGGGGAACAGGTTGACAGCCTGACAGCCTGCCAGGAGTCACCCAACATTCAAGAGAGCCGGGACCAGTGTGAGCCCTGGGTTCTGTTGCTTTTCATCCAGTGCCAACCTTTGTCCTCTCCCTCAGGGCTCATGGGACCAGGAAATCGCTGAATTCCCCTCATTGGGCTTCTTTCCACCAGTTTTTTTCCAGCCTCATCCCAACACCAAGCCCTTTCCTAGGGCTGTTTTCCACCAGCTGGGGCTTTCATCTCACCATGCACTTCTCCCTCTTCGCCCCTGCCACAGTGGCCTTCCTTCCCAGGGTAGCTGATGAGTCCCTGGACTCCCCAGGCCCGTCCAAGCCACCTGTCCCCACGTGGAATGGAAAGCTCCATTGTCCCCAACTCTCGCTGTGTCCCTTGGCTGGGTCACCCCTGTCCTGTGGCTCAGCTCTGGGTATCAGGGCACCCCCTGCCAGGCTGGGAGTGCAGAGCCTTGGCCTTGACAGTGCACGGGGCCTTACCTCCAAATGTAACTGGTCTTTTCCAGGTGGTAGATGTAGGTCGGTCTCCGGCACCTCTCTGTGAAGAAGAGTCTTCAGAAATTGAATAGGCTGCCACCAAGAAAGGAAGGTTTGCTCTGTTTGGGCCACAAGGTACAGCAGTGAGGCCAGTGGGGGATACTGCAGGGAGAGATGTAGAACTTGATGCCTTGGGACAATGAGCTCCTCAGAGACTGGGTGTCCGTTTCCTAGAGTTGTGTACAGAAGAGTCCTCCCTTGCCCCCTGTCTCTCCCCCTCCTCCCCACCTTCTTTCTTCCTCCAATCCTGGCTTCTTGGTATGCATTAGACAGACTTAAGCACTTGGGGGGAAGGTGAGCAGGAAGGCTAAGATGCCCACTAACATTTTAGTGGGCACGAGACAGCAATAAGCAAGTAGTCAAATGGGAACAAAGTGATATTTCTGAAGAGATAAGCATCGCACACACACACTAACGATATGTCACAAAGCATGGCGTGGGGGTGGAGCAGGGAGCAGCCTTGAAGACCACGGTCATCCTCTCCAGGACACGTTTGCCCCGAGACCTGAGAGAAGGAGCACACCAGCACGTCCTGGGGAGCAGCGAGAGCACAGAGCCCTCCACACTGCAGAGGAGAAACCGGCCCTGTGTGTCTAGGACCGTGTGTGTCCTGTGCAGTGTGCAGTGTCAAAAAGGAGAACGGGATTAGCGGTTACAGGCAGCCACATCTCAGTTCATTACAAGGAAGACGTTCACGGCCAAGTAGCTCTGAAGTGGCGTGGGAGGTGACTTGTGATAGGGGGCGTCCTGCTAGCAAGGTTTTCGAGCACAGGTGACCCCAGTGAGTGGCACATGACATGTGTTCATTCCTGGTGGTCACAGCCACCAGCCAGGCAGATGCCGCTGGCATCTGTATGTTAGTGAATAACCCCAAGGTCACTAGGCTCTAGGTGGCCATCAGAGGCACAAGGCTCAGTGTCCCTTGTCACTTTTTCAGAGACCCCTCTCCATGCTCAGGCTGTCTTTTGCCTCTTTTCTATCTGTTTCTCATCCTGCCTTCAAACTCCTGCTCAAGATCATGCCACTGAGGAGTTTATCTGAAATCAACACCATCCCTTTTCTGGCTCTCCTGCATATCACCTCAGCCTGTGCTCACGGAGGAAGCAGCAAGCCATCATCCTTGTAAGATCAGGAAGACCAGCTTCAGGCAGGCAGCCTGCCCTTGCTGTGTGACCCTGGGCCAGTTACTTAAGGAGATAACTTCATTGCTCCTCTTTTATTAAAATTTTTTTTTAAAGATTATTTACTTATACATACTGAACTGAGGTACAGGCCAGAGGTGCAGGGACAGTGAGAGGATTCACTAGAGACAACAGGGAGCAGAACAGGCCAGCTGATGAAGTACACTGCTAAAGGGAGCAGTGGGCGGGTCAGGAAAGGTCTGCCGGGCCATGTGGGTCACCCCTGGGGCAGGCGGGGATCGAACTTATGTTGAAGTGGCTTTAGCTTCTTAGTGCCTATGCTTTAACCTGCTGCGCCACCAGGGAGGACCCCTCATTGCTTCTCTTACTGCTTCGTTTCTCTTAAGCTCAGTGTCCAATGCTACTTTCAAGTTCAAGTCCTGGTGCCTTTCAAGTTCTCTAGTTACTAGAAATACAACCACAAAGCAGACATAGGAACTGCCTTTGAGTCAGGGCCTGGCCTCGTAGCTCACGGGAAGCCTGGGTGCCTGTGGCTTCTCATGACGATAACCAATCTGTGTGCTTTCCTCAATTTAGGGAGGCAGAAATCTTCAATATGGGGTGGGGGTCAGTATTCAGGACCCCAACCTACCTTATTGTGGCTGAGGAACCTCCCAATGGGTAGAGACCATATGAAGACTATATTACTTCTTACATAAGAGTATTTGGGGCATAAATGCTAGCGTGAAATCAGTTCTGACACTTATTTGTTCCACAGAGTATCAGTTCCACAGCAGGGAATCTGACTTGGCTCAAACAATGGTTTTTAAATCAGAAGTTAAGAACCCTTGTTTCATTTCCTGGCTCAGCTCGTAGAGTACTTGTAAGGGATGCTGGCCTAGAAGGGATATTACTGGAAAAATACTCATGTTTAGGTGATCCTCAAGTGCTAGATACCTCTCTTTCTCAGCTGCTGGGTTAAGGCTAGTGCTGGCTTTCCCGGGTGACTGGGTGGGTTTGGGGAGCCTCTTTTCCCACATAGCTAAATATGACCTAATTCTCAGCGTCTGGTCGACATCTTGCATAAGACTAGGACTTTTGATAGACTGAATTTTCTAGGTGCTTCCCCTGGAAACTTTTCTGAGGCAAAGAGAAAGCTTGAATGCTGGTTCCCCCAACTGCTGATATTTTTTGACTTGTTGAACTCACCTTCTGGCTTTCACTGTGGCTAGCTACAAGCAGAAAACAGGGATTCCCTCTCCCTTGTCACGTGTCTGATACGCGCAGGTGAAGTGAGGTCACGCATGCTCCCCCGCCTCAAGGTGGTTGCTTCCCACTCGGCTATCTCTTCTGCAGTCTCCCCAGCTCACGCCTCACAACCTGGGGAATTTTCCATGTCCCCAGCTGACTCATGATTGAACATTTGGGACATGCCTCTCAACATTTAATCTAAATCAGTGCTGTTGATTGCTTTTCAGAAAGGCCCAGCCCTTTCTTCTTCTACAGCCAGACAGCAGAAATGGAGGTCCTGCTACTAATATGAGTCTCCTGTAACCTCCAGGCTTTGTTGCTGGAGAAATAAGGATGGTATAAAAGCAGATCAATAAGAAATTGAACTGCCTTTGTTTCCTTTCTGAGGTTATTGAACTTGTCAAGAACAACATAGCTGACGATCGGGTCCAGTTGCATGTGTTGAGTGCCTTTGACCCCCTCCCCATCAGCCCCTCAGATGATCAGGCCTTCGGCTACCAGCTGCTCCGCCAGACCCTACAGTCCGTTTTCCCGGATGTCAGCATTATTGCCCCAGGTAATGACTTCATCAGCTGGCTGCAGGGAGGTAAGGGTTGGAACTGTTTCCCATCCAGTGTCCACTGCCCCACCCCCCTCCCAGCTGTTCAGCCTGGAAACAGCTGGCTGCTTCCTCTTCTGATGGGGTTGGAACTGTATTTTCCCCTTGGAGTGGAAGTGAGAAAGCAAACAGGAAAGAAGCAGAAACAATAAATTAGGTCAGTCAAGCCTGGGTCCTTGCTTAACCTAAGCCAGCCGCCACTCTGGCACAGAGAAGATCTGCCCAGACCCCCCCCCCACCCCCCTTTGGAGGAGAAACAGAAACAGCCAAGTTCCTCCCGGTCTGGTTCTGATCCATTATAGGGTAACAGATCTGATCCATTATAAGGTAACCAAGCTCGGAATCTGCAGCTCAGATTCTAGGCTCTCTCCCCAGCCCTCCAGCATAACTTCCAAATCTATGCTATAAGGACAGTGGTCCTCAAATTTAAGACTGCTAGAGGAACTTATTAGAATGCAGACTACCTAGACTGCTCCCAAAGATTCCTGTCACCAAATCTGGAGAGAGCTCTGGAATCAGCGGTCTGGGTTTGTTGCTGTTAATCAACTGAAATCTGACCTATTTCTCAGGAAATTCAGACTCAGAAATATTATTGAGGTCTCCAAGTACCTCCACTGCACCCACCTTGATTCAGGCCCTCGGGGCCTAATGCAGCAACTGCAGCCATTGTCCTGACCACAAGTTCAACTTCAGACTGGAGAGCTCCTCTGACTCCCAGCCTGTCTGGGGAGCGGAGTCTTTGGCTCTAGACTAAGAATACACCAGGCAGCCTTCCTCTTGAGGTCTGTCACCTGCCAGCTCATACTGTCCAGAAATGCTCATTTCACAGACCAGATTCTCCCTTAGCTCGCAAAGCCTCCCTTCTGGGGCACCTACTATAACCCCCAATGGGGTCCACTCTTATAGAAAAAAGGCAGAACAAAAAGATAGAAACCCCCAAAGCAGAGGATTGGGAAGGTCAGTTACCCATTTGAAAATGGAAAATTGAAGTGAAAAAGAAAACGAATCACAAATCACCATCTCAGATCATTCCACACACCTTCATTGAAGCTCCAGGGCACTTTCCCGAAAGACATTGTTGGGGTGGCAGGGAGGAAGGCAAGGGCCAGCGCCCACTGGGGCAACTGGGTTTGGAGGGAAGCTGCTGCTACTTTTAGATTGTTCTAGGGCTTTCCAAACCTGAGGTTTGACTCTGATTTTTTTTTTAAAGATTTATTTATTTATTCATATAGAACTGGGGTACAGGCCAGAGATGCGGAGGGTGAAAGGATTCACCAGAGACAGAGTGGGGAGCAGAACAGGCAGATCGACGAAGTACACTGCTGAGGGGAGCAGCGGGCGGGCCAGGAGAGGTCTGCCTCGCCATGTGGACTCCTCCGGGGCAGGCGGGAATCGAACTCATGAGGAAGTGGCTTAAGCTTCGTAGTGCAGTGCTTTAACCCGCTGCGCCACCAGGGAGGGCCCCTTATATTTTTTTAAGATTTATTTATTTATGCATACAAGAACTGGGGTACAGATCAGAGGTTCAGGGGTGTGTATGAGAGATTTCACCAGAAACAGAGTGGGGAGCAGAACAGCCAGATGTACTGAAATACACTGCTAAGGGGAGCAGTGAGGAGACAGGAGAGGTCTGCTGTGCCGTGTGGGTCAATCCCTGGCCGGGGATTGAACTCTTGCTGCAGTAGCTGTGGCCAGCTTCAGAGTGCTGTGCTTCAACCCGTTGTGCCACCAGGAAAGGCCCGGGTTTATCTTTTTTTTTGTTTTTTTTTAAGATTTGGGGCGGTGAGAGGCTTCACCAGAGACAGAGTGGGGAACAGAACAGGCAGATCGATGAAGTACACTGCTGAGGGGAGCAGTGGGCGGGTTAGGAGAGGTCTGCCACGCCATGTGGTCACCTCCGGGGCAGGCGGGAATCGAACTCATGCGGAAGTGGCCTTAGATTCTCAGTGCAGTGCTTTAACCCGCTGTGCCACCAGGGAGAGCCCGCAGATTTGACTTTTAAAGTCAAAGTCATCCTTCAGAGGACAAGAAACTCAGGAAATGACATTCTGCTTCAAGAGGATTGTATTTTATAGTCATTAAATTCCCTAGAGGGTGTTTATTTCTGACCTAGGGGCAATACAGAGGAAAACTTGGGCAATAAAAAAGCAGCAGCTAGAATTCTGGATGTTTAAATTTCCAAAATAGTCCAGCTGTGGGTGTGAACACATTGGCCTCATGGAGAGAAGACACTTAGCTTTGGGCCAGTCAAGGGCAAGCCCACTAATACCCGGGGAGGAGATTCCATGTTTCCAACTGGAATGATGTTTCCATAACAATTTTTTTAATAAGGTCATATGAGTTTCCTACTTAAAACTCTTTAATAACTTTTTGTTGCATTTTTTTAAAGATTTATTTATTTATACATACAAGCCCTAGGGTACAAGCCAGAGGTGCAGGGGTAAGAGGATTTGCCAGAGGCAGAGTGGGGAGTCAGAACAGGTGCATTGACTGAAATAATTGCTGAGAGGAGCAGCGGGCGGGTCAGGAGAGGTGTGCTGCGCCATGTGGGTCAGCTCCCTGGCTGGGATTGAACTAGCTTCATAGTGTTGAGATTGAGCCCCTTGTGCCACCAGGGAGGCCCTCAGTGATGTTTTGAGAATAGGAAGCAACGTAAAGGGCAAAAATCCACAACGCCAGGCTTCCACCTGCTGGCCCACTTTGCCAAACTCTAGAGACCCCCCAGCCCACTCTTGTGTTGGAAGGTCCCTTCCTACAGGGTCTGCCCACCTTGCCCATTTCCTACCTCTCCATCTTCCCTCTGCAGGCGTATGCATTGGCAACACAGATAGTCGGCACTATACAAACCTCACGACTGGCATCTACCGGTTCAACCCAGTCTACCTGCAGCCTCAGGGGTTCAGTAGGTGAGTGAGTGGAACACCCAAGGAAAGAGAATGGGTGCCTCTGGTCTGTGCTTCTCCCATCCCAGTCTCCTGACAGTCCACAGAATGGGGGGAGACCAGGGTTGGTCCCAACTAAAATGGACACATTGTAGAGCCAAACCGGCCAGCTTTCCTCTTGGCCAGTCTTGCCACTTGCCAGAATTGTGGGAATTGGGCATTAGTTGGCAGGCCTGGCAGTCATGTTTGGAGAGAACCTGATGAAATTAACCTGAGTCAGTTCTAGTCCCAGCTCTTTCTCCTTTTTGGAGAATGTGCACCCTCTGCATCTCATTTTCTGCCTCCAAAAGGGAGACTCCAGAGTTCTCACTGCATTTTGCTCAGTGAAATGCAGATGCACAGGAAGGCAGAGATGGGTTCCTCCTTTGACTTCTCAGAAGGTCACCTCAGAAATTCAAGAAATTTACCATGAGAGCATCACTAATGTGTGACTTCTTCAGCCAATAACGGGGATGGGTTCCACTTACCTGTTCCATCTCCAGTCCTGATTCCCCATCACAAGTTGAAAACAGGATGAAAACATTTGAAGATAAACTTGAGAAGGGGTTTGATGAGGTGGGGGGAGTGGAGAAGGCTCACAGGTGGGGGAAGGGATCAGGTAACCACTCATTATTCCTTCCATCTTTGAAGTTGCGTGTGTGAGTTGATTGTTGTGTAGTGGGTTCGGTTGGGTTCGGTTGGGTTGAAGAAGGTTGGTGGGTGGGGAATCTGACTGAAGTTCCTAGATGAAGTGGAGAAAGAACCCCATAAAGTACTCTGGGCAGTTGCTCTTCCTGTCCTGTTGTACCCCCAGGAATATTGGGGGCAAGATAGTGCTGGCTTGGAAATAAGCCTAGCTGGAGACTCTGGCCTAAGAAAAAGAAAATTAGAAAGATAGTTTTCCTTCAGATGAGAAATGACAGAATGGATTCTGGAGTCTGAGACGAATGTCAACTCCCCAGGAGGATTTTAATCTCTACCCCCACTGTTCTTTGTTGTGGACATGAACCCTAGATGGTCAACATGTCACATGAAACCTTCCTTCATGTACATGATCTCCCCCACCCCGCCCATCTCCTACCCTCAAGTTCAAAGGTTCAGGGATGATGGGGAGAAAGTGTTCTGTAATAACACAGCAATGGACTCTCTCCTCTCCCCACAAATCTCCTTCCTTCAGCATCCATGGATTGAACGAGAAAATCTCCGTCCAAGCCTACGAGACCCAGGTGAAGTTCATGTTCGAGTTGATCCAGAATGCTGACACAGAGCAGAGGTCATCTCCTCACCAGCATGAACTTTGAGGTTGAGAACCCAGGATTACTCCAGGTGGAAGCCAGTCCAGTATTCTTGAAACTTTGTCAAAACCACATCGTGAAACATTGTCCCTCTGCCCGTTCACCCCTAAAATCACAAGAACAAGTCTAAAGTGTGAGGGAGGACTGTGGGAATCTGGCTTCTCCCTTCCTCTGGACTTCAGCCCGCAGACAGCTTCCACTTCACGTCTCTCTCTGGTCTGTATAGTTGTCTGTCTTGTGCCTGTTAGTAACTGTGCCACTCTCAGCCCTGACTTAGCAACTGCAGACTTGAAAAATCTCACCCAGGTTTTACTTGCTTGGAGTATTTAGTTTAGTGCCCCTGCCAGATGGCTTTCCTCCTTATTTGTTCTTGTTGTAACTTCCTTTCCCCTTTTTCTCCTCTTTAACTCTTCAGCTGGCTCTGCCTGTTCCCCCTCCTGTCCTTGGCCCCCCCCCAAACTTATCCCCAATTTATTCTTTATCTGGAGCAAGAGTTCATCAAACGGTGGTGTTACCATCATTGTCGCATTTGGTCAAATAAAGTGACATCAGCATCAGCAGCCACTGTCGGTGAGACTGAGGCCTTAGCGGGAACCCAAGCCTATGGGCTGTGGAGGAGGAAGCCTGAAGAATAAGCCTCTGTCTTCAGCTTCCTCGGGGGCTCCCTGTGCTTCGCTCCCTCCCCTGCCCTGTTTTGGCCACCTGATATCCCCCTACCACCCCCCCACCCCAGTACCTCCACAGGGGGCACTAATCTGTGGAAACTTTTCCCTGGCACAGCCTATGGGCTGAGTTTCCAAGACAAGGGCACTTTTGGTGGAAGCAAAGACCTGCAGGGCCCTGGCACCGTCCTGGTTCAGACTCAGCAAAAGGAAGTGGGGGGGGGGTGGAGGGAATGGGAGAGGGACTGGTTCATCTGGGAGGCTCTGTGCTGGCCTGCAGAGAATGAGGGGGGTCAAGTGGGCCTCCCTTAGGGGTCAGCAGAGCTCCCCCCCTTTTCTCTTTGGAATCATACCCTGAGGGGATTTGAATCCGCTTGCTCCGTTGTTGCCAGGAAGGAGGCACTGCAGGCATTTCTTGGCCCAAGACTTTGTGGAGCAGGGGAAGTTTGCGTCAGAAGGACAGAGGAAGCTGAGAGACCCCCCTCTTTTTTTCCTCCTCAGGCAAGGCTCTGCCATGCCTATCCTCCGTTTCCCTCCTTACCACCTCTAGCCCCCTCGTGCCCCTCATTCCTCTCTTCCCTCCCCTGGATAATCCTTAGGGATCAGACTTAATGGAAAGTGTTAGACATACAGTGTGGGGATTATTGGAGCTTTTTTACAGCTTCCCCTAAGATTCACATTCCTTCCCTCACCCTCCCCGCTTTGGCCAATTCTGTACTTATTCAACTTTTGTTTGAGGGTGAGCTGAAGAACAAAAATAACCCTTCACATTAGTACAGAGTTTTCATGTCCCTATTTCATCAGAACCCCTTAAAATATATTGTTACCCCGCTTTGCAAGGGAGGAATTATTCTCAGATAGGTCATGCATTGAGTTTGGGACAGAGTCAAACCAAGTCACGGGCCCCAAGCTCCCTGCTACCCCATGATCCTTAGTTACTGATGGAATTTACTTCCCATCGATTATCTGATTTATTCCCAATGGCTCTAAGGTGTTATTGCCCTTGTTTTATGGACGAGGGAATTGGGACCCAAAGCTGAGGTCATTTGTCCAAGGGCATTCGGGTGTTAGGAGCAGAGCCATTAAATCCAAATCCAGGGTCCTAAAGAGGAAACAGACTTAGAAAAGTCACTTGCCCGAGAGCACACCTTTCTTAAAGGACAGTCCCAGGATTCAGATCAAAACCCGTAAGTCCTGTGATTTTTCAGCTGATCCCCATTTCTCCTCCTAAAAACCTGCGGTGTGTGGTTCATCCCTCTGGCCGAGGCGAACTCAGGGATACTGGCTATTTTACTTTTGGCAGAGTTTTCAGTTCCATGTTCCCCTGGCCAACCTCTCCCTGGTCACACCTCCCTGTCTACCAGCATTTCTGACACCTCTCCCCCAGCTGCTGGGATAAACTCTTCCTTCTTCTCTCAGTTCCGAGACGACTGGGTATCTAATGTAACTGGGAGGCTGAGGTTTCTGGAGAGAACGGATGAAAGTGCTAGTTAGGCCTCAGCAACCTGAGCTCCAAGACTCTGGAGAGCACAGATCTGGGCTTTTCCTAGACCTCCACCCCCATCCACACCATTCCCCAATCCACCACCGGTACCCTTTCTATCCTTACCAAGGACTTAGCTCAAAGTTCGTACTCTAAGATAGAAGGGAAGACAAAAATATTCATTAGCAAAGAAATGGGGAAGAAAAGTATCATTTCACTGGAGCCCCTTTCACAATCTGGGTTGCTAATAATTTCAACATTTTGAAACAATGCAGGGTTTATTTTCAGGGAGTAAGAAAAGGGAGCTTCTAAGAAAGAAAACCCATGGCCAGTACAGTCTGTCCTGAGCCAGACAGTGTCTGCGCTGCAGAGTCCAGGCCAAAAGCCACATGTGGGCGCTGTTGGTGGCACAAGGGGTTAAGGTTCCACCCTATCAAGCTGTCCGCAGCCACTGCTGCATGAGTTCAATCCCCAGCCAGGGAGCTGACCCACAGGGTGCGGCAGACTTCTCCTGTCCCACCTGCTGCTCCCTCAGCACTGTTTCAGTCAGTCGGCCTGTTCTGCTCCCCACTCTGTCTCTGGTGAATCTTCTCACGCCCTGCACTTCTGTCACACCCCTGTACCCTAGGTCTTCTATGCATAAATAATTTTTTTAAAAAGCCACATGTGGAGGATGGTGGCTGCTGAACAGAGGCCTGGAGGATAAGCCAGAGTCCGGTTGTAGGGAAAGATGGCGGCCCTCTGCCAGGAGCCTGGAGCCCACTAAACATGTGGAGGAAAAGGGGGAGGGGGGTGTTCCAGATGCAGGGCTGGAACTGGGCGCAGCAAGTAGAGGAGGGAGGCAGGACGGAATGCAGGACTGGAGGCTGGGCCAGCGCCCTTCCGCCAGAGCCAGGGCGAGACAAGGCTTCTGTGTAGCCTTTAGAGCCTCCTGGCTGCTCTACTCCCCTTGCATTCCCAGATGTCCTTGCTCTGGAAGTCAAGGGTGGGAGCAGGGAGGTCCACCTGGTGCTGGCCAAGGCCCGCTAGTCAGAGCTGGGCACCTGCCCCCAGCACAGTGGAGGTGGGGGATGTAGCCCCCGTGACACTGGGGGCTCCAGCGCCCACTTGAGGCACAAGGAGCCAGACACGGTGGCGCCCAGGGCAGCTGAGCAAAAGCAGGATGGGGTCGGGGCAGCTGCCATGCCCAAAGCCAGCAGCCAGCATGGCTCCTGCACTGGGAGTTGTGTTTGTCCAGCCTGGTCACGCAGGCAAGGTGCTTGGGCTTGGCTGAGCCTAGGTGACTGGGGGACAGCTGGCACTGGGGTGGCCACTCTGTGAGTCTTGGACCCTGAAGGCGAGTGCGGTGGCAAGTCTTAAGACTGCCGCTCTCCTCTCACAATTACAGGTCTAGTGTTACTTCCAGAGGAGGTAATAGTGATGTGGAGGGTGGGCTCCCAATAGCACTCACCAGCACTGGTGTTAGCAAGGTGGTGAAAGCTTGCCAAGATGGCACCTGTCAGTGATCCCAACCGGTGCACGGTCGCTAAGCTTCATATGTCTCATGGATTCCTTCGCCTGTCCAAATCTGTGTGACTGCACTGTGCTCCAGGTAAGCCCGTCTGCGTGCTGGCCCTTTAAGGCTGGGTCTTAGTCTCTGCTGACTTCCTTGCTCTTATGTCCCCTGGTCCTCAATGCATGGGTTCCAAGGACTTGTCTCTGGCGTGTGCTGAATCATAGTCTGGGGGTTCCAGTGTTAGGGATAACTGTCCCCCAGTTTTCCAGGGGAACATTGTGCATTTAGAGGTCTCTTCCCAACTGTACCTCATTGCCCCAGCGATGGGGTTTCTTCCTTGGGGAGATGGTGACTGTCTCTCCTATCTGTCTGGACACTACCTTTTTTATCTTTTGTCGTAGAAGCTCTGTTTGTCTGGATTTCAGTTCTACTTCTTTGTAGATTAGTCAATACTTGTAGATTTGTTGTGTCCATGGGAGGAGGTGGATACAGATTATTCCTACACCACCTTCTTGAACCCACCCCAGAGGAGGTACCAGGAGTCAACATTCCTACTGAAGTTTTGAAATAAAAGAACAGTTCGTTGTTTGTTTGTTTTTTTTGAAAATTAAAATCTAATTAACTATATTTATGAAAATGAAACTATTTGCAATTCCGGTGTTCAGAGTTCATGCAGTAGTCACTAAAGAGCATCCTGTTTTCCTGTGTGGTTACTGCTAGATCTACAAATGTAAAAATATAAGACTACTATAAATTGTTTAATACTACAAAGTGTTCCTAGCCACCATGTGTAATGTTGCAAACTCATGTTTTAGTGCCTCTAGAGTCAGAAATTAACTTTCAAGAAGCACAAGAAAATGGCGGCTCAGCACTACCCGGAAATGCTTCTGGGAAAAATCTACTGCGGTCGTGCTTTCTGAGAAGGATTTGACAAGACAGTTTGTTCTCCCTTAGCTAAGCACTTTAACAGCTCTTTCACTCTCTGCACTCCAAAACTATGTCTGTCTCTAAGATTCACAGTGACATCACCCACAAATCTTCAGGACACTTGAAGATAATTTTTTTCCTGAAAACATAGGTCTAGGTGTGTAAAAAAGTGCTTCCCCAGGGCCTGAACTATGGTAGTCTCAGGAACCTGTGTTTGGGATGACTAGTTGCTCTGGATCAGCACTGAGTACTGAGTCCCAACTGACAGAAACACCCCTGGATTTTTAAAAGAGCTCCTGTGGCTGTAATATCCAGGGGCCTTCTGCAGCATAATACCTAAGGCAGAGGCCTCAATTTCCCAAGGCTAAGAGGTCAGTATTAAGAGCTATACCCACAGTGCCTGGTCAGGCCCTCCTGATTCCTGAGTTGGGCAAGAGACTTCAAG